ATTTTTAACTACACGTACTCTTGTCGTTTATGAAAACAGTTTTTCTTTAATCGCCCGTTGTTAAAAAAGTGATTACATGTAGGTCAACCAAATTTAACAATTCGGAAATGCGCTCACTTTCACATTTTCGACGAAATATTGCACAAACTCTTTTCTTTTCTCAGAATAGTTTTCTTGACTTCCATTCTTTTAGAGGGAACTCACGTGGATGTAAACTCGTTGCAGTGGTCTATCTTACTCGTTGTCTAAGCTAAAAGCAACCTCCGTAGCCTCTTCCAGGCCCTCGGTTTCTGGCGGCGAGACAAAGGGAAACAAGGCGAGTGCGAGAACAAGAGAATCTGGGGAAGGAAGCACTCTTTCTCGCGCCAAGCCCCTCGCCTTCTTCCCAGTTCCACTCGTTCTTCGCGCGGACTTCCCACTACTAACCGAATGCCTAGAACAGGTTACAAACTCCGCCGCCTAACTTACCTTCAGGTTAAACACCACGTGGTTACAGGAATGCATGTGACCGTAGAACGTTTGAGCACACAATCCCTGAAACCAATCAAATCCATTCATCATGTAACTTCTGTAACTGAGTTTAACGGAAAGCGTATAGCTGTACCGTAACATGAAGTGTTGGAGTGCATCGCATGCAGCTAACCGCTTTACACTAGTGTATACTTTCTTTGTTGTTTCTCGTCTTCAGCGAGAAACGTTGCAACTTCAAACAAAGTTGGTCTCTACCTCTTCAAATGCATCAAAAAAGGCAAATATCGTGTCTGGGCACAGATAAGCTGAGGTGAAACTCTATTTGGAATATTAATATTAAGTCCAAGGTTAATGGTTTCTTCTCAGCACATATTTTAACAATAGTACATAGATATGGTGAGGAGAAAACTGAATGTTGATCACTTTTGGTATTCTCAGAAGGATAATCAAAGACAATATAATTGATATAACTCAATCTAATCCTTGCTATCTTGAAATTCTGTAACCGTGTAAAAAAAAAAAAAACTCCTACCAAACGTAAGGGTGAAAGAGCATTTTTGGAAGAGGGCAAAAAAATGGGGATAAAACTACAAAAAAAAAAAGAAAAAAGAAATAAATCTCTATCTCCTGGTCGCCTTCGTAGTCGTTACATGTATATCGTTTGTCACGCAACGGTTGCAAAGTAAAAACGGCAGAAGAAGAATTGCGCCGTTCACATTTTCCAGAATAAACAGCGGGTATGACATAAATATATGTATGAAGAAACAGTTTGCTTACCGTTCGCGCGTCCCACAGAGAAAGCGTCTTATCCGCTGAGCACGTCAAGAGCGTGTTTGAATATGGAAGAAACACGATACTGTTCACAGAGTCCGCGTGACCGCGCAGAGTGTGTCGGCAGCGCTCGCTGTAAGAAAAATTAATCAAATTTTTATCAGCACTTAAGAGATTCGTTTACTGCATTGGTTTCTTTAGAACCGTAAGCTTATTGTTATCAAAATCCACACAAATCTCTCAGCGGCACCGTAATTTAGGGTAAAGGGTAAAGTCTGCATACGAGCCAAGTGGCCCATCAGGCCGGAGCTTATCCCGGTGTCTGCAGCATAAGCATAACATACTTCAATGGCATTCAAACCCATGATTGTTGCAACACTGAAGAAAATGTTCCAAAACTGAATTGAATATCACGAGGAGTTGGTCGACGGCGAGAGAACTATTATCACGCCACCTGAAGAATGATAATATTCATCAAATGTATGTACATGTAAGTACCTGTTGACATCCCAGACTTTGGAAGTGTTATCCATGGAACAGGAAGCAAGGAAGTCCCCACACGAGTGCCACGAGCAGCCCCACACGGCATGGGTGTGGTCAGTGAAGGTCAGAACACACTCCGCTTTGGAGAAATCCCAGATCTTCACTGTCCCGTCTCCGGATGATGTGGCCAGACGAGCGCCTCTGTGAAGTACATGTGATGAATGGCTTGTCATGATCAATACCGTTTCAATTCTCGTGAGTTATCAACATTCAAGTCCACGAGCTTTACAAGATAGCACATTGGGAAGCATGCATAACCGTGTTCATAAAAATTCAGGCCCCGTCCATACTAAGCCAGGTTTGAAACACAGTTACGGTTAGGCGTACCGTCCATACTAATCCGTCGCGAAAACGGAGATTTTCGAAAACGCTCTTCAAACCGCAAGAATTTGAAAACGCTGGCTTTTCTTTTCTCTGTGAACGGAAAACATTTTGAAAACGGAGCTTTTCGAAAACGATGGCGTCACGACAATCAGGTGATTTCCCTGACAGAGTTGTCCAGAAACACACTGATCCAAAATGACTGGTCATTGTCGCGTTTGTAAATTCCTCTGGTGTAGTGTGGACGGAAAACATATGATGCGTTTTCAGAGTGAAACCTCCGTTTTCAAATTCCTTCGGCGTCGTGTTGAAGGGGCCTCAGATACAAGGAAATTTCAGAGTTATAGTGGATTGATATTTACAACCCTCGATTGCTTCGAACCTCCCGGTAACTCAAACTAAAAGTCGTTTCCCTTCGATTTTTCAAATAAATTTTCTTTTCCCTGGGTGTTTCGAAAAATCTGGATTCCATCTACTTAACACGGCCGCATACGTGAAAAGGAGAATTCTAAAAAAACCTTCCATAGTATGCGACGCTCTTGGATTAAATTATAAACTAAATACTTTGTTGTCATACCCTGGATGGAAATCACAGTCTGATAACCAATCCTTGTGGCCTTCACCTGTCATAATGATGTCACCACTGAAAAACAAAGCATTAGATGTGAATAAGCACAGTTCTTGTATCAAGACCAGGTGAGTTATGTTTGATCGTGGGCAATCCTGTTTTCTTCAACGCCTGAGCCGAGACGACTTAAAATTACCAAGCAGTGAGCGTGACCTTCTTAAAGAAAATCTGGGACAGCTCGCAGTCTACGACTATCGTTAAAGGATGAGTGATGTATGTTATCAAAAGATAACTGTAAGTTATCATGTAAAAGTGACTCTTCAGCTACAAATGTACTGTTTCCTTTTTTTGTCAAATATAACATATATATATATATATAAAAAGTTTTAAGGTACAAATAAATTGTTGTTGTTGTTGTTCTAATTGAAATTAGAATTTGGAAACGATGGGTTTAGACAAAGGGAGAAAACAGCAGACATTGATATTACGCTGCGATTAAATTTTCACTCCGGCACGAGTAGTTTGTCTCCAAATAGTGCTTTGGACTTTATCAACATTGTTCGGTTGAAGTCGACTTTTCATGATGATTACCTCGGTACAGCCCACATCTTCCAGCTCCAGTCATCGCTAACTGTGGCCAGGACCTGTTTTCTTGGATGCAAAGCTAGTCTGTTGGTGAACAGAAAAACGCAAACAAGTTTATGTAAAACAATGAGTAATATATCAAACGTACACGAAAGACAGTGTTCGACCGCATTTCCAAACACCGAGAAGAGAGTCGAAAATACGACACGCAGCCGAGTATTTTCAACTCTCTTCTCGGTGCTTGGAAATGTGGTCACACACCGTCTTGAGTTTTTAAAACTAAGGAGAAAATTGTGAAATACATCTGTGTTAATTCAGATCAGATGTCCAAACACCGTCACGGTCATGATTTCATTTCATTAAACTTGCTGAATCATCAATGAGTTTGAAAAATAACGATTCATAACACAGAAGAAGTATCTTTATTATATCTCTCAGTTATTACGCGCGCTGTGATTGGTCAATTTAGCGAGTCGTATTCTCCTGTACGGCCAGTTTAAATTTAAAGTTGGTTTTGTTGCCAAACTGTATTGTGATTTATCGCCAAGTGTTCTTAACTTTTATAGCAAGTAAAGTTTAAAACTTTCTTTTACTCTAAATTGTGTATTAAAGCGTGCTAACGACTTAAAAACGATTTCAATTGACTCGTTTTCTTTCGAGGTGCGTCAGAAATTTGAAGCCGTTCCACGCGAATACAAATCGTTCCCGAACCCGGCCATAAATCGAAGGGGAAAAAACTCGGTCCGTAAACTTGCAATACGGACCTCAAACTCGGTTAGCAAGAGGTATGTACACTGCTCAACATTGAAGAGTGTTTGTTTAACCTCTTTACTTAGAGATGAGAAGTATGCATCAAACCAAACTCTCCCTACACTGTTATGTGATTATTGACAATGTACTTTATGATAAGAACTGATCTGAGGACATTTTTCTCACCCACTAACTGGCAGATTGTGAGCACTGATCGTGTGCGTCAACCTGAATCCTCCTGCGCGTGTCAAGTGTGCTGACGGACCTCTGTGGTGAGCGAGTTGGGGATTCACTCGACTATCACCAGGAAACTCTGAGTCCTACAGTACAATGATAGACAATTAGTTAACAAATAAAACATAATTCGATATATTACATTGTTCTTGCAAGTTACAATAACTTCCAATAAATATAAACAGTCGGACCGCCGGACGTGTTCTTGGACAAGACATTAACTCTCATTTGACTGGAAGTTCCCCAACCAGGTATTAAATGCACCTGTAAATGGCGATCAAAAACTGTTGAAGAAACAAATCTTGGGGAAAGGAGGGTGGGAAGCTTAACCTGAAGTCGATTTGCACTCCATTTAGGGCATACAGAAGGATTCATAATACATACATGTACAGTACCGCTCAGAACTAAGCGAACCAAAATTCGCGTTAAGAACGCGAGTGGATCAACGCGCGCGCGTTTTGCTGCGTTAGACCGCGTTTTGACTTCGCGTTGTAGCGCGTTAAAGTAAACGCATTAGTAGGTATGAATTTGGTTATTGTTCGCTTCTTTTGTTACTTTGTGAAACGGAGTTAATGACCTTTTCAAACGACGACAATCTAAATGAATGTCATGTGTTTTCAAGGTTCACACACGGTCTAACTCTTTAGTTCCGGCTGAATATTTCGTTATCATTACTTACCATTTGTTTTAATTCTGGCTGAAATTTCACACAAAAACAACGACTTGAGTAAACTTTAAAGTTGCCCAGGCTACACAACCAGCGAAGTTTGCTACATGTAATGAGCCGGCTTAGTTTTTGCATAGCTACATCCCTGAATACATCATCCTGTTACATAAACCAGGATGTGAAAGAGTATTAACTGGAAATGAAAACCGGCTTTTCGCATTGACTTCAATATGATGGCATGTACATTGTACATTAATTAACACATAGTTACGTGCATATTTTGTGAGACTGATATCCAAGCCATCACACTGACTGGAAACAGTTTTTGCCTTTTTATTACTTCGTTTTCAGTTTACCTTGGGGTGTTGGCTTTGGAGCTTCTGTTGGGGTCCAGTCTCATTATTCTGAGCAGCTGCAGGGCGGTACTGAGACATCTTTTTCTGGGTCTCACCTCCTTCATTGGGAAATAATTGATAATGAATTAATATTATTAATTAGCAGAGTGAATGCAAACAAAAGAGCTAGTGAACATTAATTTTACAAGAACCTATGATAGACAGTGCAAAACAAATTGAAAGTACAAAGGAAAACAATTAAAAGGCCTTCAAACAAATGAGATGCTCTAAGTTAACATGTGTATTCATTTTACAGTTAATTAACCTGCCTACTTGACACAAACCTTGTGTGAGCACTGCCTGACTCCCTCCCACTTGATGGAGAGTCGTCTGGAGGCCTGTCATCTGACAATTTGAAAAAAAGTTCCAATCACACAGGAACATTGCAAACATACATACATGTAAAAGTACTCATCTAGTACTAGTGCATAACTGTACTACAGTATACAAAGTTTAAAAAACTACACATTTGATTTATAAACAACTGAATTTTATTGGAAACCAGCAACAATTGTTATCAGATCCTTATACTGCCACCTCGACATGGAGATTAATTCAAATAAACTAACTCTACATTTATTGTGGAAAGTATATATTACTATGATACACACCTGAAGTCTAACTCTGTTTCACAGAACCTACACCTGCACACAAACTAAGCCACTGACAGTCTGTTTTATTCTCAAAAATCAGGAAGAGAGACAGGGAGAGGGTTTTAACACGAGAAAAGACTACATGTAAGATGAGACTACAGTTAAACACAAGCGAGAAGCACATACATGAGCCACCATTTTTTGAATTCACATTTGCAGGAATAAACATTAGATGGTTGGACCCTAAGAGAAATGGCCAGCTGAAAGGGGTCTACAGGTCTACATGTACAAACATATGTATTGTTTTGGCCAGAACAGTTCCTTAGAATTTACAGTTACAAAGCTTACCTGTCCAACAGCTCTATCTCTTTCCAATTTTGTGAGCATCTTCTCCTTCATAGCCACCTGTAAGAAATATCATTGATGCTTAAAATCAATAACAAATTCAGTGTAAACAAGAATAAACACAGTAATTCCTCACAATAAAAGTACTGCCAAAAGTGCATGACTGTGCACAATCATGTAATTTTTAAATTAATATTAAAATATTACTTCAATTCCTGTCCAATAATTCTTATCAGTTAATCAATTAAATTGCCTCCTAATAATATTGAGCCTTGGCATACCTTTTCAGAACCATAAACCAATAATGCTCAAAGTCACGTATACACTACACACATTTTATAACATTATGTTCACTATGGCTTACCTCATATTTGTGTTTTAGGGTCTGCAGGGTGGGTTCATAAGAAGAATAGTGCTTCTTAAGTCTAGAATACAAACAAGAAAGTACATAGTACATGTACATGATGTGTCTATTTGTAAGTTTTTTTTGCTGTTGTTGTAGCTGTTCTGAGAGGACAGTAGCAAGTGTCCTCTGGGTGTCCTTTCAACACAGTTTCATCGAAATTGCTAATTATACAGCCGATAGAAGTACAAGTACATGTAAATTATGCAAAACCTTCCCAAGCGGGCAAGCTGTGGTTTTATAGAAGTGGACGAAANGCTAATTATACAGCCAATAGAAGTACAAGTACATGTAAATTATGCAAAACCTTCCCAAGCGGGCAAGCTGTGGTTTTATAGAAGTGGACGAAAACCTGGCTAATATTGTCCCTACCTATTGACAAGTTAACAAATGAGATACCTTTTGATATCAGTAATGAGCCTGTTCTTTTCCTGGACAACTCTCTTGTGATGCATTCTGTGAAAATCTCTTTCCTTCTTCAACCGGACAAAGGTCTGTTTTGCCTTTCTGCGAAAGACAAAATTATATTTAACAATTAGATAATGAGCTGGAGATTTCTATCGTGTGATAGTTGACAAGGGCACATCTCAAGTCAACTATCAAGCATAGAAATTGAAAGCGGTTAATCTAATTGTTTTTAGCATAAATCTATAAGTCATACAACACTTTATCTGAATCCTCTCCACAGACACGAAAACGCAAAGAAGCGGCCTCCATTTGAATAACAAATGCACACAGCTAAGATACCAACTATCTACAACAGAGTAGATAGTGAGAATAGCCAATCAGAGCATGGAATTTGTGATAGAACACTAGTAGATCCATACTAAAGGTACTTATTAAATGCAGTTAAGCAATAATTATAACATTGCAGCATGATAACAAAAAGGGTAAGATGCTTTATACAAGGACACAATAAAATGGCCCCACCCATGGCTCAAATCCAAACAGCTAAATCCAGAGTCTAGTGTGAAATCCATTAAACTAGCTGCCTGTGGA